TTTCGCCCCATTTCTCTAATAAACGGTTCACTTCTTTAGACTTATTCCACGGCTTCGGAGGTTTGGCGGCAGTTATCACTGGACTACTAGTCGCGGACTTCGATGGTGTGCCCATTGTTTGCAATTCGTACCAATCGGTGATGACTTTAGTTTGAGATTTGTCTTCGCATTCAACCACAACCTCTTCAGTAGACTTGTGGGTCAAGTCATGACAACTGCTGTCAAATGTGTCAATGAGACCATTGTCTTCATTGTCTTCAGTGGCGACAAAGTATTGGTTGTCATTAGAAGAGTCACTGCCATCGATGGCATTGTCTTCGCTATTATCACAGTCTTTAAACTCATCGGACAAGTGATGGTCGTCGCCGTTATCCACAAACGTATCATCAGTTTTAACGTCTTTTAAATCTAAATCCGTTTTCTTATCAAAGAGTCTCTGGACTGAAGACAAGACAATGGATTCAATGAAATGAATTGATTACAAGACATTTGATTGAAACATTACTTTTATTCCGGATTTGAGTCATAAAATTGAAATTCATTGAAACGGATATTCAAACCAATAGTTAAGACAGCAATCAATGAATCAATGAATTAGTGAACAACGAGTCGAACGACAAGAAGTAGGAATTGCTGTCAAATCCAGTGACTAATCGTTATTACAATTGAAACGACAGTTGGTTTCGCTTTAGTTAGGCTTACAGTTGCTTACAGTTAGAGAATGCGATTATTTTACGAGTCATATACTGTACGGTATATTTAATATTCAATGTCATTATACGGTAAAACTTTGCATAACTCTATGCTCTCAAGACTTAGGTTAGGTTTGAAAAGAAAATAGGAAACAGAGGTTTGATATAATGGCAAGTTTAATACAATTAAACAAATCAATCAAATAACTCGAAAACTAGTAATTCTTGGCAAATATTTATTGATTCAAAAAAATCAAAATATAAATTAAGTTCCGTTTACGACCTGTGTTGCTTAGGTAACTAACTCAAACGCTATGTAAAAAACAAATATTGTAAATTAAATTTACTAATAGTTAATATATTAATAAATTATTAAATTATTTTTTGTAAGTAAACAAAATAATTATAATGACTTATGTGTTGGACATTGAATTGTGTTTTATTTGTGTTCCTTTCATATCAATTGACTATTAATTAAATCACAAAATGGATGCAAACACTGGGCTTTAAATATAACTTTAAAATAATAGTTTTGCATAAATTCTCTAAAATATAATTTTAGGCAATACTTAAACGTAAGTAATAATTACTAAATTATCATTTACTGTCCATCGAAATAATACAGTAATAATTCATACGATAATAATAATAAACACTGAAAAATGAACAAAAAATAGTCATTTGTCTTATATTTAACAACAATTATAAGGCACTGAATAATAGCATAACATTGACGACACAAACAGACATTCATACGACATATGATTGATTCAGACATTGATTTTGTGGACATTTATGTCAAGACTAGGGTTTAGGAGACGAGTCAACGACTCTGACAGACAACGGCAATACCGGCGCAGTCCTGACAACAGGTGCCCCGTTCGCAGAGGTGGGGCTCACACTTGCATATGTTTGCCTCGGCTATCGATGCATATATGATATTATCAGTAGTACTTCCAGTACTTTCGGTGCCGCCGCCGCTGTCCATCACTGACTTCGATGCTTTGGAAGCGTCGGTGGTCTCACTGTTTGAGCAAATTTTGTCGATTTGCGAGTCATTTGGCAATAGGAGGGCTGGGCTTGGAGTCGACGGTGTATTCATTGGAGTTATGTTCACAACCTCTGGTAATATATACTCTTCGAGAGGCACTTCCACACCACTGATTGGTATCAACGCATACGCTAGAGATAATCAAACAATTAAAATCCTAAACCTTTTCAAAACATTTCATTCAAAGACATACCAGTGATGTTGGAACCATTGGAGGTGACAATCTTTTGTGCGGTCTGTTCGCTAAGAATTGTGATATTATTCGGCAAACAGTCGGTAATAAACTTATGATTAGCGCCGTTAGGTTCGCAGTGCGATAGCTTCGACCCCCAGAGGGACGTGAGTAGAGCTGCCGCTTCGTTATCATTCATCACTGAATAGTCTTCGCCGTGATTGCCATTCATCGCGCAATTAGTTCCCAAATCCCTGTCCACGACATCGAACGACAGATAATGACCTCCACTGCCGTCCAGCTCTCCATCCACTCTCTTATCTCGTTAATTTTGCCCCGAAGTAAGCCCTTGGACTCCAGGTTATTGAGCTGAGCCTGGATGTCGACCAAAGCCGTGTCCACATTCTCGTGGATCACATCATAGATGGCAACCGAGAACTCGGAGGCGGCGAACAGCATCGCCCAACTCCTGCCTATCAGACCACTGTTGGCCACAAAAATCATAAATCAGATCCAATAAGTGATTCAATTGACAATATGTATCATTAGTGCCATACCTGCCGACAATACCTATCTTTTGACTCATTCTCCGCACCAAACGATATAATCAATGAATGAATAAAAACTTATAATTAGTTTGAATGCAAACTCCGATTCACAAAATGAATCAAATATTGAAGACTTAAATACGAGTGTAAAGTAAACCAAAACTCTTATCGCAACACAATTTTGGAAACACATAGGGCTTCAAAACAATCAATTAGTCTGTAGTCCTGTGCCCTTGGATTGCATATCAGATAAGACTTCTGTGAATATTATACAAACTGATTAGACATTCACTGCTGAGTTCATCGACAACTTTGTGCCAAAACAGATATTCAACCAAAATATGCGTCAATTTTATTAAATAAATCAAATCATAATTTCGTTTTTATTAATTTATTTGAAATCTTAGACAAAATTAAGAGAAATAATTATTTTCGCGTTTATCTCTTGCCTCCAACTCTCGGCGCTTTAGTCATCATAGGTTTGGACGCCTTTTGGGCCGCTTTCGCCTTTCCAGCCTAAGAACACACCAAACATACGGTAAATAGTAATTCATTATAAAAAATAGTAAATTTAAGACAAAATCTCAACTAATAGTTACACAAAATCATACATTAATTGACACAAACTTTTCACTACAAATAAAAAATACACTTAAATTGTAACCAAAAAACTAATGTCTATTTCTAAGCAATTGATTGAAATAAAAATGCCAACAAAAGTGGTGCACACCTTCTGCGGGGGTAACGATGCCTTCTTCTGGCTCTTCGCAGCCCTTTGTTTCTCTTTAGCCGCTCTAATGGTAGACAAAAAGACACAATCAATAAACGGATCAAATGAAGAGACAGATGGGGCGGCCAATGACCAGCACATACCTAATCGCCTGTTCCCTCTGCGCTTTCCTAACCTCGGGCTTCATATTACGTTTGGCGAGAATGTCGTTAAGACTCGCGCCGACGATAGCCCTCTGAAACTTAGCGGTCCTTCGGGTCCTCTTCTTCGTCAGCTCCTCTTCGATGCCTTTGCGGTGTTTGCGTCGATAGAGTACAGTCCACGTGATCTTACGGGGGTTGCGGCGCATCAGGTGTGCCGCCTCTGCCTTCGCGTTCAAGAAGATGAACACCTGATCCACACCATCACCGGTAAACAGATCCACGTGTTTGCCATTTGACGCAAATTGGGGTTCATTTGGATTAAAGTGTTGTTTATTTGGACATAAATTAGCGGATCAAATGGTGGCGCGTATTGAAGATTACGGCATGAATTGGCGGATCAATTGGTGGCACGTGATATGGATTGAGAGACAAATTTATGGATCAATTGGTGGCTAACTAAAGAGGACAATAGCAAACATACCTTCCCGTCGGCCTTAACCAGGCGTTTGCCATGACCAGGGTAGATCTTATACCCGCTGAATGAACAGGCCTCGATCCTAAATGGACACAAATAATCATGAGTGACCAGTTGGTGGTGGCTGAGGAGGAATCACATGAAATACTCACTTCATTATGAATCGATGCAATGGTTTAGTGAATGAAATTCAAGGAAAAGGAAATGCATTTGAGAGCCAAATGTGGAGGCAATTGGAGGCAAACGTATAGCACAGACATCTGGCGGACGTCTGATGTGACTCACTGTACGCTTGCAGTGAAGCCCACTTCGGGTGTACGACAGGCGACACACTGTGCGACGGCGTAAGGAATATTCAGAATTGAATTTTGGCAGACAGTGTGCGACAGTATGTGTCGGTGTTATGCAGTGAAGTGTTACGCTTTATAAGTCTCTTATCAATTGATTGTCTAAATTAATGTAATCTTTTGAATTAGATTTAATGAAAATATAACGAAAAATATTTTAGTCATATGTTTGTTTCAAATTGTCTGCTATATTATCACTGCAAACACAATCGCTGAAGACTCGCAATATTTTAATTAAATTCAATTTACGATTTATTATACAATTTGTTTGAAAAAAGTTTTGATTTACGAAAAGTTTTAGTCAAAAAAGTGTTTTAATTAATCAATACATTGAAACAAAAGTACAAATAATAGCGATAAATAAGATTTCAAATAAATATATCAAATAAAATTCAAAGTATACATTAAAATCCATAAAATTATTAAAGAATTTTTAACACAAAAAATAGTCACAAAATTCACGTAAAGAACGCAAAGAATTATCGCTCATTTGCATCGTGTGGTCAGTAGTGGTCATTGAGCGGAGTATTACAGTTGTGGCGATCATCACCCGATCGGTTCCAGCACTCACTGCTCTTAAACGATGCCTTAGGCTTAGTACCAAAGGCGGCACTGTTTCTATAATTGTGATGACCACTGGTGTTCACATTGGAAGCGTTGGATGTGCTGATGGAGGCGCTGGCGAAGTGGTGGTTAAGGTCGCAGACCTTATGCTTGATATCGTAATCGTAAGCGAAGTAATCCCTGGTCTCCGTCCGTTCCGTGTGTTTCTGTTGCTTATGATTCCAGTTATGATACTTACGTTT